GGTGACACCATGGGTAAGCTGCACGATCGTGAAAAAAACGTCTCTAAATACATGCGTTGTGGCGCATCTGGAGGTTGTTGAGCTGTGATTTGGTTTCCAAATCCAGCCGGTTTTAAAGCCAAAAATGATAATAATAATAACAAAGGTAGAACGGTGCACATCTCTACTCAACTCCCCCCCCCCCTTTCCTGTGTGCTGAACTTCAAACAAGAAACATAAATATTCATCAATTCTATTATTACTGGCGCTCACTAAAATTAGACGCTCATTAAAATGTAATTCACCACGTGCAGGCTTTGTTGGGGCATGTGAATGCAAGCCCTCTCCTCCCCTTCTCATTGGCCACCTAATGAATCACACCAAAATCACCAGTCAGTTTGTATTATTTAGAGCTGTGCAGTTTTTTGGCTTTGTTTTGTTTCTTTTTTTAAGAAAAAAAGGACAAAATTCTTCTCAAATTATGCCTGATGTGGATTTAGGTGCGTTCCACCGTGGCAGGGATGAGTTAGGGAGCACTATGGGTCCCGAAACACCACCCCGCACCTATCTCTGGAGGTGGAGCTCAAGTTTTCATGATACACTTCATTCACCGCTCTACCCAGGTCACTGTCGGGCCGGTCACCGCGAGCCCGTCAAGCTCCGGTCGCCCCCAGCTGTGGCAATAATTTGCTCGGGTGTGTAGTACATAGGATGAGCTGGACTCACTCCAGAGCGGGTTGTTGGGAGGGACACTCCACTCCCCGAACAATGAGTCTTTAATGAGTGCTTCAGTTCACCCCAGTTCAGGTGAAGGAGAGAATCGGCCGTGCAACCCGATACCCATGACAGTTCATTTACTCGCCCATCAATAATGCAGCCCGTGCCAACTTTAGTTTTGGCGTGGGCTTTAGAATAGAAACATTCTTGTTATTGTTTTTATTTAGCCTTTTAAATCTTACAAAGTCACGTGTAAAGTTTCTGGGTACTTCTTCTTTATACCCTCAATGACCAGGAAGCTCTTGATTTCCTTCTCAGTTCTCAATTTTCTTCCTGGACGTTTTCAGTTCGACACAGTTTTCAGATGAGGGTAAACAAGTTACACATACAGGTATCGATGTATAACTCGCAAGTTATTGAAAGCATGATGTCATTTTTTGTTCGAGACGCTCATGTACCTTGAAGGATAGTGCTGATTCACTCTACAGTCCGCGTTAAGTAATATTGTAGTGAGGTTTAATGGCCACAAGAGAGAGCTCAGTGCTCTCAAATGCTGCAAATCGGTCTGCCTGATGCCTCCATTGAGAAAAATCTGAATGGAATATGAAGTGAGAACTGCCCTAGTAATTTTTTCCAAGGTAACCGGTTGGAATCTTAAAGCACAAAAGGAACTTTTCCCTGATCTAAATCGCACACTGGGCACGCATTGTTTTAAAAGGTTAGATTGCATTATTGTCTCCCAAAGGCATCCTATCATTCACTGGGATCCTCTGCCCCTGCTGCTGCCATTTCCATAAGCACAGTAATATTTTCGGGAGATTGTATGTGCCAGTATTTCTGGAAGCATCCTAGGTCTGCGGAAAAACTCTCAGACGGGAAATTATTTATTGATCCCATGGTGCTGGTGCTTGTTTCCTTTAATTCAGTGCCTCAACAAACAGCCTATAGCATGTTTAGTAGAGTATATATCCTCCCGCTGTTCCCCTCCATGTGGTAGGGCTTTTTTCCCCTTTTTTTTTAGCTTTCTATTTTTAACGGCAGGTTCCATGACTATGAAATCTGCAAACATATGGAGAAATGACCCTGCCCGAGGGCCACAGTGCCCAACCTCTTGCCTGTGCTCAGCTATAACGATTATAGTCAGTAGGAAGTGAGCGTGTGTTTGATGTGTGGGTTATTTGCTAAGACTTTCGGAAAGGACTTTACTGAAAGCGTCCCGCTGCTCTTAGAAACGTTTAGCCTGTGTGTCTGTGTCATTTTGAAAACGTATGTCTGCAGCAGAGTCTTTGGTTTAGTGTTTTCTGGAAGGGATCCGGGGCTGTTACGCTCACAGTCTCTGAACTGCTTCCCTTCATAGATTGTCAGCTTTTTGTTTTGTCAGTATAGCTAATGACAAAAAGAAGTCTAATGAATTAAACTGTCACTGTTTATTTCTCACTATTTTGAAAATTAGAGGTCACTTTGAGTAGTATCACAATGTGGATAATTCCAATTCAGTTGTGATATTTTATCATGAACGTTTCTTCTCCTGAGAAGAAAACATCTAAAAAAATGTATCCTCACCAATGTTAATGACAGATTTAGTCATTTGTCTCCATTTTTACAAATGGATACATTCAGACATAATCATTTACTTTGATAAAAACCCTATATGAACACCTATTTTACCATTGCATTAAAACCAAGCTCTGATTTCTGAAGCTCAATGCTCCCATCATTTGGCGTGCCCCTGTAAATATCCGTTAGCCCGTGTTTAAGGAATTAATATTCTGTTATGTGTTCAGTGATTAGATAACAGGGTTGGACATGTGCAGTCCAAAGGGTGAGAATGTGGTTAATTATTATTGGCAGACTGGAGAGGTGCACAGAGCCCGGCTCTAAGTTAATTGCAGTCAGAAGGGGGTAAATATGTAGGTCGTAGTCTGAAGCAGTAAAGGCTGATTTGAGTAATTAACCACAAAACCAGCCTGGCTCAAACGTGTCATACGTGTCATATGGTCTTTTTTCAATTTTTTCGTACACATCATTTGTAAAGATGCCTAAATATTAAGCACACAATACATCAAACGGGCTTGCCTTTTTTCAGTTTCTCATGCTGACACCGACTAACTGCAAGGGAAAGGTTAAACTTCATCCTGTGGTCATACGGACGCAGGAAGTTATGGTGCAGGTTAAAAGAAGAAGTGCTGACCGGGGTCAGGGTTGGGGTTTCACTGGGTGAGTTGTGGAACACTGGAGGTCTGAATCCTGGCTTGTGTAACTGGATGAACGTTTCCTTCCGTCCCTGTTGTCTGCCTCCCCAGGGACAAGCAGTTGTTCATTTGCGTAATTTGATCCATCCTTGCATCACTGTAACAGAGCAGAGGCTTTGTCTAGGCAAATTTTAGGATGTTGACCCTATAATCGTGTGATGGGCTTCCATCCTAGAGGTCAGGGCTCTTTTCATCCCAGTGCTTTTAGCTGCAGCCAGCCACCGAGATTAGCAATCATAGTTAAAGGCAATTGGCTACAAATTGAGCCTCTGAACCTCCACAGCCACTAGCTGCACGGAACAACAACGTTTAAGTAGTTCAGTTTAATGTAGAAATAAGTTATTGGTCCATTCAGGGCTAAGTCATACCAATAACAGTAATGCACTGACTCAGCACTGGGTGTGTGGGGCTGCAGTACTTCTTGGCCGTCCCATTGGTTGTCTGGCCTGTCAATTGTGTTGTAAACCGGGTCCCTATTCAGACACACTCGAATATGCATCTCAGTTTCTTACTGTAAACAGAGAGAGCCGTTCCGACCTGCACACCAGCTACACCTGGTTTTGATTCCAAATATACAGTTTTAATAAATTAAATTGTGTTCTTTTTCCTCCACCAGCTGAGCTTTGCCACGTAGTGAATGCATTTATATGTAAACACAGCCTTCTTTCCTGGATTTATAAGGCTAATGTGGTCAGCTGGCTGCTGGCCTGCACTACAGAACAGATAAAGGCACCCTGAAAAGTACTAAAACCTCTACCTCTCTGGTATTTTTAGAGTAGAGTTTTTAGGAATTTGTTGCTAATCTTGTATATTTATGTTATATTATTCCCAAAGTCTAATACCTACTATTATACCTATACCTAATGTAACTGTTAATGCATACAAGTCAACTCTTAAGTAATTTAGTTCCCTGCTGTTGAAGTTTGCTAAACAGATTAAACGCTTCATTATGAATGACCAAAAATAGATGGATACAAATAAAATGAATAGAATAAAAAATAAAGTTGCTCATGTAAAAAATATGCAAAGGATGGACTCACAGGTTCAAGATCTATGATAATTAAGACGTCATAATTGTACTTGTTAGTGATATTAAAGGCTGCTGCATGTGTAAAACAATTTATCCTTCGCCCCATCAACAAAAATGTTAAGCATTGTGTTTGAGTGTTGTTGCCAGAGTGGAAGAAGTACACACAAACCACTCCATCGCAGCTCATCAAGAAAACTGAAGTCTGTTCATTTCACACCGACATTTCCCCTTTTTTCTCCCATTCAGGTTATGTGGGTATGCAACTTGTGCCGAAAACAACAAGAAATCCTCACCAAATCGGGGGCTTGGTTCTACGGCTCGGGGCCCGGTCAAACGCAGGGCGTGTTTGAGGGTGGGCCGCAGGGAAAAAAGGCCAAACTGCAAGACCCGTCCCAGTACCCCTACCAGGGAGCCCCGGGGGACTTGACTGTATCGCTGGACCGAAGCAGACCTCATGGCGGGCATCTGCCCAGACAGGCATCGCTGGATAACGGCACAGGGCTGAGGTACCCGGGACCCGGTGACGCATCCACAGACAGGTCAGTTTTCTGTGTGGGGAACACGCAGAACACACACACACACGAATGCTCGACATGATTTATAGCGGGGTGTATGTTGTGTGTGCGTAAATGGAGGTTGTGTATGCGATGTATCTAAAAGCTGGTAAAGGATCTAACTGGGACACGCAGTCGCAGTGCTCTGAGCCTGTAGCAAACCAGAGGAAGGCCTCGCTCTCATAAAACCGCTTGTGCGCGGAGCCCTTAAGGCCTGTAAAGGGAGACACACAGATACAGCTCGTCTGTCTCTTAACTCAGCAGTTCTGTAACAGCCATCTACCCACTCACACTCCTCATCTAGCTCACACATATATCACGCCGGCACTTGTCAATACAGATAACACTGGGATGCAGCCGGGATAGGGTATCAGCATCATGAAAAACGGCAATAATTGATGCAATCTCTGTTTTTGACTAAAACTGATGGTCTTTGTTAAATGATTCTGTTTAGTCATCAAAGACGGAGAAAGAACATGAGAGCGTTATTAAAATATGTTGAATTATAAAAGCAAGAGCTGGCTGACTACTAAATAGAACATTGTGTTCCTGTTATCACGTGCAATAAATGCCCCTCTCTGAGTTAAACGCTCTGCTGACAGCAGCTTGCCATTTTTCTCGCCTGTTTTTTTTTTATAGCAACGTCAAGTAAGACAGTTACTTTGATGTCCACATGGGGGCTCCTTTCTCTTTCTTCCCTAAAAGAAAGCAAAAGGATCTGTACACTTTCGGACATTTACCACCACAGCACAAGTATCTACAGCAAACTTCTCTAATGTCAATGTTTTTGGGCTTCTCTTTGGATGCAATTTGTAGCTCGAAATGTGTCCGTGCCCCACGACTTGTCCGCTCCACGTGTTGGATAGTTTTTTCCTTCTGTGTGGAATATCTGGAAATTATAATCAGGACTGTGGCACTAGCCCTTTGAGAGTGATGCAATGATGGCCATCCAGTTGCTTAGACTACAAACATTGGCTCCGTCAAGGTGCCTGTAGCTGTATATTAACTAATAAAATGGCCTCAGGGGTTAGGCCGGTGTTAAGTAATGACATTTTTTCCAACTGTATCAAGAGGAGATACGAACTTGGACGTCTGAAAATTCACAGGATAATAGCAGGGAGCCCATAAACCGAACAACCGCCCTGTATAAGCACTAAAACACACTTTTATCAATCTGAAACAATATATTTTTCTGTCCTGCCAAAGAGATGGTGACAGTGTCACTCACCATATCCACGTATGCTCATATGTTAGCCCTGTCATACATATGTGGAGAACGCTAATGGAGCATTTTTGGCACTGAAATCCAAACATACATTTTAGAGAAATGTCCCTCTGGTGTCTATTTTGAACGCAATCAGCTGGCAAGATCCAGCATGCCAACAGTGTCAGCACATTGGACTATATCCTATACGCTGCTCAGGTAGTTTTGGCTTAGTCTGACATGGTCTCTGTCATTGTAGATGTACGTATAAAAGACAGCTAATATTTGACACGTTTATTGCAGTAGATTGCATCAGGCTGCTTCTCCAGGCTTCAGCAATGAACGATTTGTCGTATTACTTATAAGTTTCCTAACAAATGCTTTATTACGGTCATCCAAAGTGCTTAATAAGTCTGCACATTTCTATTCCTGACGTGTCACTGATGTCTATTCTAACCAGACTGAACAACCGGCGGTACCAAAGGCATTTTTTTGCACTTCACACACGTTGACATGTCGGAGAAAAGCACAGGTCTGAATGACAGAATGAAAGGTGTTTCCCTTCTTCTTTGAAGGCTGCTCCTTTGTTAGGATTTTCTCCGTTCCTCCCTCCGGTTGGCTCGCTGTTACGCTTTTTTGTTCTACAAAGCTTTTGAGGGGAAACTGATTTTGAACGTGGCGGCAAATATATATTTTTATTATCAGGTTTTGACTTGATCCATGCTAGGCCAGTGTTATGCCTTCAGTTTCACAATCCTATCGTCATTTTACCCCCAAACTGTGGATTCCTTACAAGATGTCCTCCAAGTCTTTTTCCCCCCGTCTTCTGAAAAACTTCAAAAGACGTAACACCCTCTAGCTCAAGAAAAAGCCATTATAACTGTATTTCCATCACACAATTGGATTGATCGATTATCTATCTATCTATCTATCTATCTATCTATCTATCTATCTATCTATCTATCTATCTATCTATCTAT